GGTCACTTGCTGTGGCGAACTTAAGTGGCCCAACTGCGATTACTTGGACACGTGCCTGGACGTGCGTGCCTGTGTCTTCGGACCAGCCTTTAAGGTCATCACGTGAAGACGGTCAGAGCGAAGACACAAAGACATTGTGGCAGTCGGCGGCAGGCATGACGCCTCAGGAGAAACTGCACTGTTGCTAGCATTTGGCCAGGCTAGACTCCTAACATGCATCAGTATATTTAAGGTCTATAGGCATAGATGGAAATTGTAAGTGTATACTTGGGCTGAAACCCGTCAACCACTGCGTAATGTACACCTGCTGCCAACGGACAGACTGCAGTAGTATATATTGGTAGTGTAACTTACCATCCTAACAGTCCAGTTACTAGCTAATAGGCCCAGACACGTGTTTCGCAGGTATTCTGCCGCTGATTGCCACAGCTGCGATGGTTCCGGCTCATCAGTGAGTCCCTTAGCTTCCCCTATTTGCCTGGTAAGTTACAACACCAATATATACTACTACAGTCTCTCCGTTGGTAGCAGGTGTACAGTACGCACTGTTTGACGGGATTAGTCCAAATATACACTTACAATTTCGGTCTCTGCCTATAGACCTTAAATATACTAATTTATACCACGAACATAAATTAATTTCTAAGGAAATTAAAAAAAACAGCTTAACCCTGGCTTTGTTATTTTGGCTTCGTAAAACACAGGTGCTGAGTACGCAGTGTCACGTGGAAGTATTCTGTTTGAGAGAAAATTGGAGTGCTGTCCTTCGGAGGGTACCATCTTAACTCTGAGTTGAATGCTGTTGCAGATGCGCTAAACCAAGAGAGGGGGCAGGTCAGGGCACGGCATACCGAATGCCGAGCATGGGGTAGGGGCCTGGTGGCACGCGTAGGTACAGGCTCACGCCGCACTAGTCACTTGAAGCCGATCACGCAATCGGTATTGTTAACTGTATTTTGACAGCAGACGCAGGTAGGTGAGGTAAGAGAGAGAGAGAATGCAGTAGATGCAGCGCAAATCTACTACCACTTAAGACTAATCCACGCTCAAGTCACTGTCTCTGCACAACCCTGCTATGGGGCACACAGTATACCTTGTAGAATTCGACGGACGAACTGCCAGTGTCCTGTGAAGGTTGTGGGATTGCATACCGATTAGCAGAAACTTCAGAGGGAGACGATGCGACCACTGGAACAAGAATTCTATTTTCT